ACCCCATGAATCTCTGTAGTTGTTTCCTGTCTCTGGGTGTACGCCAGTCCAGCACTGTAGAGACCTTATTGAGGTCCATGGACATTTTATTAGGAGAGAGAACAAATCCCAAGAAGGAAAAGGAGGACTAGTGAAACTTGCACTTCTCAGCTTTGACAAACAGATTGTTTTGTAACAATCTTAACAGTACAGATCTAACATCTTTTTTGTGGGACGAGAGCTCTTTGGTAAAAAAATTAGTATGTCATCCAGGTATATAAAAACAAACTGATTAACCATGTCCCTGAGAACATCATTTGCAAGTGCTTGGAAAATGGCAGGAGCTTTATTCAGCCCAAATGGCCGTTTTCCACTCATCCCCCTCTGATACAAACCAGGTGGTAAGCGTTTCTTAGATCAAGCTTTGTAAAGATGGTTGCTCCTTGAATAAGATCAAAGGCAGAGGTCATGAGCGATATTTATTTTAGTAGTCTAAGCATGGTCTCAGTGAGCCATCCTTCTTACCCTCAAAAAAAAACAAGAACAAAAAACAGTACCAGCAGGAGACACTGATGGCCTTATGATTCTAGCCTGAAGGGACTCACTAATCTATCTTTAATGGTTTGGTTTTCAGGTCCAGATAAAGAGCATAGGCTGCCTCTAGGGGGAGTAGCACAAGGTATCAAATTTATGGCACAGTCATAAGGTCTGTGGGGGGCAGTGATGTGGCCTTGATTTTGTTAAAGACCTCCTTGAGGTCATGATAATCAGAGGGGAACTTGGAGCAGTCAGGGTACATGTCCTCTATTTTGTCAGGACTTAACATAAGAGACAAAGTGTCAAACAGACAAGAGATAAGCATCCTTCAGACCACCCCACATTCTCTTTCTCCCTCCAATCAATATGTGGGTTATGTTAACCAGGTGGCACCAAGAGTAATATGAAGTTGGGTGTAATTAATTACAGGAAACTTTAATCCCATGTGATGGTAGCCACTGAGAAGTAATGTGATGGGTAGAGTCTCTTGGCTGTTATCATGCAGTATGTGCCTATTTAAGGCTAGAACCTTGTGGGACCTAGTAGATTGGACTATTTCACTACCCACAGATTTTGCAAACTCATAGTCTATGAATTCAGTGTCAGCCCCAAAATCAATGAATGCAGAAACAGAGATTTTCTTCTTACCCAGCACCAGGATTTCAGTTGCTAGTGTGAGGGGTGAGGAAATTGTGTGGTTCCTGATGGGACTCAGTAGGACTCTCTTCTCTTCTACTGAGTCTGGTCTTTTTGCTGACACTTTGCCACATAATGACCCTTGTTCCCACAACAGAAGCAAAGATTCAGTTTTTTTCCTCCTTTCTCTCTCCTCCTAGGTGAAGTGGCCCCTGCCCAGCTGCCTAGGTTCCTCAGTCTGTGTGGGTGTACACACAGAGATAGTGGGGATTTGAATGTGACATTTTTAGATTCACCCCAGGGTCGGGCTGCTCTCTCTGCTCTGTCTCCTCTCTTACGCCTCCTCTCCATGAGACAGAAGTTGATGTGAGTAGCCAAATCCTCCAGCATTTTGAGTGAGTCAGGGTAGTCCTTGGTGGCCAATTCATCTTTGATATCATCATTTAATCCTTGAAAAAAGGCATCAGTAAGTTTTTCCTCATTCCATCGGCATGTCAGCCGTGACAGTATGAAAATCAGTAATATATCTGGTGACTCGTTTACCCCCTTGCTTTAAAGTAAACGACTTCCGGGCTGCCACTCTCTTGGATATGATGGGGTCAAAAACTCTACAAAGTTCTTTAGTGAACTCATTAAAAGAGTAACAGCACTTGGTGTCCCGTTACTATTCAACAGCCCCCCATGATTAAGCCTTAGCTGTCCGTCCGTCCGTCCGTCCATCCATCCATCCATCCGTCCGTCTGTCCATCCATCCATCCATCCATCCATCCATCCATTATCTTTTACCCACTTCTTCCATTTGGGTCACGGGGGTCGCCGGTGCCCATGTCTGGAAATCATTATGTGAGGGGTACACCCTGGACAGGTCGCAAGTCCATCACAGTACCACACAGAGACAAATGAGACAAACAATCATTCACTCTGTCATGCTCAGTGGCCCCCGCTGCCCCCCCCCCATCTGTTCAAGCTTCTGCTCCTCATACCACAGCTCCTGTTTTAAGATCATTCACGTTTTTTTCTGCTTTAGTTTTGAGTTCCCCTCTCATTCATTCAGCTCCTGTCACCATGCGCCACGCCCCATCCGCCATCTACCGCAATCTACGTTCACGAGCAACACCTGTTCAGTCCACTATTTAAGCTCCCCATTTCCCATTTACTCCCCATTTTTTCCCATTTACTCCCCATTTAAGCAACATGGCGAGTAATAAATCGTGTTCTGAAAAGTCATAAAGCAAAAACAGGTATTTCACAATATTTTTTGAAGGATGATGATGAAATCCATGATGAAAATGAAATTGTAAATGGATTTAATCATTATTTTGTGAATGTTGGATCAAGCATTGCAGCTAAAATACCAAAAGTAGACAATAATGTGAAACATTCAGTTATAGGTTGTGACAACAGTATTTTTCTTAATGGAACTGACAAAGAAGAAATAATGAATGTAGTAAAAAATCTTACAGATAAGAGATCAAAAGACTGGGTGGACATGGATATGATGTTTGTAAAGGACATAATGAGTTATGTTATCGAGCCATTTACATATATTTGTAATTTATCATTTTCAAAAGGAATATTTCCAGACAATATGAAAGTAGCTAAGGTAGTTCCTCTCTTTAAAAATGGTGATAAATGTGTGTTCAATAATTATAGACCAATATCCTTATTACCACAGTTCTCAAAAATTCTAGAAAAACTATTTGTGACCAGATTAGATAAATTTATTACTAAACAAAACATTCTAAGTAGCTGTCAGTATGGGTTTAGAGCAAAAAACTCTACATCAATGGCTCTCATGGAAATAATAGAACAAATAACTACTGCTGTCGATCAAAAACAGTATTGTGTTAGTATTTTTGTTGATTTAAAAAAAGCATTCGATACTACTGACCACACTATTCTCCTTGGAAAATTAAATAAATATGGTATAAGAGGACCAGCATTACACTGGGTATCTAGTTATTTGAAAGATAGGAAACAGTTTGTACAAATAAATGGTGTAAGATCTGACCTCTGCAATATCACGTGTGGAATTCCTCAAGGCTCTGTACTTGGACCAAAGTTATTTATTTTATATGTGAATGACTTAGTGAATGTATCAGGACTCCTCAAATGTGTCCTTTTTGCAGATGACACCACATTTTTTTGTTTGGGTAAAGATGTAAAATGGATGTTGGAATTGATGAAGACAGAATTTGATACAATACAAACTTGGTTTAAACTTAATAAATTATCATTAAATTTAGATAAAACTAATTACATAATATTTAGTAACAAAAAGAGAACTGTTGACGATCCATTTAAAATTGAGGGTGTTGAGATTTGTAGAGTTAATGAGATGAAATTTTTGGGTGTAATCATTGATGAACAGCTAACATGAAAAAATCACATGAATTCTGTAAGAACAAAAATATCTAAATCTATTGCAGTACTATACAAAGTCAGGGAATTATTAAATGATAAAGCTCTGTACATGTTGTATAACACAATCATTGTTCCACATTTAATCTATTGCATTGATGTTTGGGGGAAAGCGTGTAAAACATTTACAAAACCTATTTTTATTTTACAGAAAAGAGCTGTAAGAATCATCACCAGAAAGCATTACAGTCACCCATCAAGCACATTATTTTATCAACTGAAGTTATTGAAGTTCCATGATTTGGTAGATTATAGTATTTTATCAGTTATGTATAGGGCTCAAAATAACACATTACCATTAAATATCCAAAGAAATGTTGTTAAAAGACAAAGTTGTTATAATCTTAAGGGGATAGAGATATTTGTCAAACCAAAATTCAGAACTAGTCTAAAGGGAAGGTCTACCTCAATCCAAGGAGTTGGATTGTGGAATGGTCTAGAGAGTGATGTGAAAAATGCCAAGTCAATGTGTACATTTAAGAAAAAGATCAAAGCTGAATTGTTAAAAAAAAAAAATATATATAAAGTAGCTTAATGTGTTTTTTGTATTAGAATTAGAAAAATTAAAAAGAGTTTTTCATTTTGTGGGCAGCACGGTGGCGCAACTGGTAGCGCTGCTGCCTCGCAGCGAGCAGGTCCTTGGTTCAACCCCCGGTCCAGGGGCCTTTCTGGGTGGAGTTTGCATGTTCTCTCCGTGCATGCGTGGGTTTTCTCTGGGTGCTCCAGTTTCCTCCCACAGACCAAAAACATGCATGTTAGGCTGATTGGTAACTCTAAATTGTCCCTAGGTGTGAGTGAGACAGTGAATGGTTGTTTGTCTCGTGTGTCTCTATGTGGCCCTGTGATGGACTTGCGACCCGTCCAGGCTGTACCCCGCCCCTCGCACAGTGATTTCTGGACATGGGCACCAGCGACTCCCGTGACCCAAAATAGAATAAGCGGGTAAAGATAATGGATGGATGGATGGATATTCATTTTGTTCTGTTACTTGAAAATTATTGTGATTGAACTAATTGTGTGAAAAAAGTGGCATATATAATAAGATTTTTTTCTTCTTCTGCTGCCTTTCATTTTAAATCTCTTGTATTTTTTATATTGTTATGAAATTGTTTTGTATTTTTTTAAATGAATTTATACCATACCATACCATTTCCCCTCAGTCGGCGTCAGATAATTATAGGTTCTTCCCGTAGATATCCAGCGTTCCTTCTCAGTATCACAGTTCTCGACCATAGCTTTGCCCACGACCTCTCGTTCTCGCCTTTGCCCCCGGACTGGATTTCTCACCTATAATCTGACCATACTGACAACTGCTTTTCCTCCTTGACCACGATTTTTGGATTCCCCTTTTTTTGGTCTTTTGCCTGGCTGCATTCCTTTCTGGTTTTGACCCTTGCCTGCCCCTGGATAAAGTTCTGCTGCCTAAGCCCCTCAGCATCACAGCACGCCCATCCAGCCTCACTACCTGTTCGTGCTCATGCTGCGCGCTGCTGCTCTGTGCACCCATGCGCATGTTACCGGCTCCTGCGATTTGGACCGTTACCGGGACCTACCTACCCCACATCTCAGACTGGTTCCAGAGACAGAAGGTTGGTGGCTTTATTCTTGTTTACTCTGTTCAGTCTAGTCCACTTACAGCCAATAATCTGTCTGTCTCCCCCAGAGTGGTCCGATACCAGTACCAGAACCTTCTGCCAGACGCTGCCGGTTTAAAATAAACATTTTAAAGCCTTTCTCTGAGTCAGTGCTTGTCTGATCCACCCCAATTTGTGACAGAATTATCTGGCCAAAAATATTGATCCAGCACAGACTCAGAGGTGGTGTTCTGGTAAGTTGGAGGATCAATTTACAGGCACCCGCCTGGCAATAAAGCCGGGTGGTTTCCCTCAGGCTCAGCCTGTCTTCTTGGGCGAGGCAGAGAAGAGAGAAGCCCAGCGTTGGGATTCCCACCTCATGAACAGGCCCACGTTCCCGTTCCCCTTTTGGGATCAGGAGGACGAGTTGGACGAAAACGAGGATTTGTGGTTTCCTCCCTGCCAGGTCCCTCACCCTCAGAAGAGCTGTAGGCGCACAATGTGCCGGTCCTCCCGATGTCCCGCCCCTCCGCCCACAGAGCCCTTGCCCCAAACGTTTCCAGCTGTCCCGCAAAGTCCTAGACCAGCTGCAGTGGCCCCACAGAGTCCCAGACCAGCTGCCGTGCCCCCACAGAGTCCCAGACCAGCTGCCGTGGCCCCACAGAGTCCCAGACCAGCTGCCGTGCTCCCACAGAGTCCCAGACCAGCTGCCTTGGTTCCACAGAGTCCCAGACTAACTGCCTTGGTCTCACAGAGTCCCAGACCAGCTGTTGTGGTCCCACAGAGTCCCAGACCAGCTGCCGTGGTCCCACAGAGTCCCAGACCAGCTGCCGTGGTACCACAGAATCCCAGACCAGCTGCCGTGGTCCCACAGAGTCCCAGACCAGCTGCCGCACATCCACAGAACCCCAAGGCTGCCCCAGCAGGTCAACAGAATCCCAAGGCTGTCCCAGCAGGCCCACAAAGTCCCAAGGCTGCCCCAGCAGGCCCACAGAGTTCCAAGGCTGCCCCAGCAGCTCCCCAGGCCTCCACGTCACCTGCAGCAGCTCCCCGGGCCTCCACATCACCTGCAGTAGCTCCCCGAGCCTCCACGTCACCTGCTGCAGCTCCCCAGGCCTCCACATCACCTGCTGCAGCTCCTCGGGCCTCCACGTCACCTTCAGCAGCTCCCTGGGCCTCCACGTCGCCTGCAGCAGTTCCTCAAATCTCCACGTCACCTGCAGCGGTTCTGGTCTCCTCTTCGCCTGCTGCAGAAGTCCAGACCCTCTCTTCAGCTGCTACAATCTCCAAAACCCCCATGACAGCATTGGCTTGGCCCCTGGCCTCAGCGGCCACAAAACCCCAGATTCCACAGGTGGCAGCGCTAGCCACCATGTTTGCGGCTGTCCTGGCACCTGTGCTTGCTACAATTTGGGCTCCCCCTACACCGCCACCAGCTGAGTTCCAGGCCTCCAAGTTGGCTGCAGCTCCCCAGCAGGCCTCCATGTCCTTCCCTCAGGCCTCCATGTTCGTCCCTCCGGCCTCTGTGTCCATCCCTCAGACCCCCTTGCCAGGTCCACACTCCTTCATGTTGGCTGCAGCACCCCTCCATCTCTCCAAGTTTCCAGAGGGGCCGGTGCTCTCAAAGTCTCCAGAGGGGCCGGTCTTCTCCACTACCGCAGAAGATTCACCTCCTACTGCATAAGATTCACCTCCTACCACAGAAGATTCACCTTCCACCGCAGAGTCTCTACAGCACTCCATGTTAGCTGCAGCAACTCCTTAGCCCTCCATGATGGCAGCAGCAGCTCCACAGTCCTCCTTGTCAGCTGCAGCAGCTCCACAGCCCTCCATGTTGGCTTCAGCAGCTCCTCAGCCCTCCATGATGGCAGCTCCTCAGCCCTCCATGTCAGCTGCAGCAGCTCCTCAGCCCTCCATGTCGGCTGCAGCAGCTCCACAGCTCTCCATGTCCGCTGCAGCAGCTCCACAGCCCTCCATGTCCGCTGCAGCTGCCCCACAACCCTCCATGTCGGCTACAGAAGCTCCTCAGCCCTCCATGTTGGCTGCAACGGCCTTCAGGACCCCCATGTTGGCCGAAGCAGCCTCCAGGATCCCCCATGTTGGCTGCAACAGCTTCCAGGACTCCCATGATGGCTGCAGGAGCTTCCAGGATCCCCATGTCGGCTGTAACGGCCTCCAGGACCCCCATGTCGGCCAAAGCAGCCTCCAGGACCCCCTTGTCGGCCAAGACTGCTTCCAGGATCCCCAAGTCGGCTGTAACGGCCTCCAGGACCCCCATGTCGGCTGTAGCCTCCAAGACATCCATGTGGGTTGCATCTCTGATCCTCCTGCCTGGTACAGCACTGGTCCTGGTCTTGCCTTTGATCTGGTCCCTTCAAGGCTTACACGGCCATTTGACCTGGACTTTGCCATTTTTTGGACAGTGACCGGGCCATCCACCAGAGTTTTGGGGCATCTCTGGAGGTCCCTTCGGACCTCCAACCTGCCTTTTTTGACTGGATTTCTTGCCTATAATCTGACCATATTGACAACTGCTTTTCCTCCTTGACCACGATTTTTGGATTCCTCTTTTTTGGTCTTTTGCCTGGCTGCATTCCTTTCTGGTTTTGACCCTTGCCTGCTCCATGATAAAGTTCTGCTGCCTAAACCCCTCAGCGTCACAGCACGCCCATTCAGCCTCACTACCTGTTCGTGCTTACACTGCATGTTGCTGCTCTGTGCACCCATGTGCATGTTACCTGCTCCTGAGATTCGGACCAGTACCGGGGCCCACCTGGCCCACATCTAAGGCTGGTTCCAGAGATAGAAGGTTGGTGGCTTTATTCTTGTTTACTCTGTTCAGTCTAGTCCGCTTACAGCCACTAATCTGTCTGTCTCCCCCAGAGCGGTCCGGTACCAGTACCAGAACCTCCTGCCAGACGTCGCCGGTTTAAAATAAACATTTTAAAACCTTTCTCTGAGTCTGTGCTTGTCTGATCCACCCCAATTCGTGACACTCTCTCACTCACACCTAGGGACAATTTTGAATCACCAATCAGCCTAACATCCATGTTTTTGGTCTGTGGGAGGAAACCAGAGTACCTGGAGAGAACCCACGCATGCACAAATAGAACATGCAAACTCCACCCAGAAAGGCCTCCGGACCGGGATTTGAACAGCGGACCTGCGTACTGAGAGACAGCAGCTCTACTAGTTGCACCATCGTGCTGCCGGCATCCAATCCATTTTGGCCAAGTTATACTGACAAGAATTTGGTTTAATAATTCAAGCATGATGCCAGACAAAAAGAATGGTTAAAATGTTTATTAAGAAGCAGCTTCTGGTGGAGGTCTGAATCCACTGGCGGGACTAATCTGCAGAGATAGAATAGTTAGTGAACTGAACTTTTCTGTGAATGGTCAGCTGAACAGAAAGACAGTCACTAACCTTCATAGTCAGGAGAGGGGGGAGCCACCTGAAGGAGTTGGAAGCGATGACGTCACCATCACTGGGTGAAGTGCAGCTGCGAGGCAGAGCTGAACAGAACATTGTTAGAAGGAAAATCCAAGAATGGAATCAGAGGCACAGGCAGGGGTCATATGCAGGGGGTCAGAGATCCAGATCCAAATCCAAGTTACAATCTGTGAAGCATAGTCAATGGGACAGAATAGGAGGTTGGTACTGATGTCAGAAAGGCAAATCCAGAACAGACAGGGAGCAGACAAATCGGGAAATCAAAAAGGAGGTGTGAGGTCAAGATGAGGCAGGCAAACAAGGCTGTGAACAGAACACTGGACATTTACAACCACAAAGGGTTCAATAATCTGGCAGGGAATCAGAGTGAGAGTGGATCTTAAATCAAGTGGGGCACAGGTGTAGGGCATGAGTGCTGATTAATATGAGTTTGGAGAGTGGACATGGTTGAATGACAGGAGCAGAAACATGACATGAGGAAGCAGGATCATTACAACATCAGAGACAAGGAGGTGTTCAGTGTCTTGCTCAGGGACACTTCAACATTCATTCAACCTTTATTTATACAGGTTAGTCAGATTGAGCCTCGAGGACTCATTTACAAGAGAAACCTGTTTGTGACTGCTGGTGGAATCTAACCACCAACTCTCCCATCGGAAGAGGACTGCTCTAACCACTCAGCCACAGCTGCCACTAATAGCCCCTAAATGGCTCTTAACTTTATGTAAACTTATGAGAACTTCTCAGTGGTTCTCTTACCTAAGATCAATCTGACTGTTGTCTCTTTAGGCAACATACCGGCTGCTCATAAGTTTTATTTTTAAGAAACATGAACACCAGTCCATCCATCCATCCATCCATGAATCATCTTTACTCGCTTCTTCCTTTTCGGATTGCATGGGTCAGTGGTGCTCATATCCAGCAATCACTGTGCAATAGGCGGGGTACACCCTGGACAGGTCGCAAGTTCATCACAGGGTCACATAGAGACAAACGAGACAAACAACCATTCACTCTCTCATTCACACCTAGGGACCATTTAGTTACCATTCAGCCTAACATGCATGTTTTTGATCTGTGGGAGGAAACAGGAGTACCTGGAGAAAACCCACGCATGCACGGAGAGAACATGCAAACTCCACCCAGAAAGGTCTCCGGCTGGGATTTAAACCATCAACCATCATGCTGAGAGGCAACCGCTCTACCAACTGCACCACTGTGCTGCCATGAACAGTGATCATTAATGGAGAAAATATTTTATTGTTCATAAGACTTTTTGTTAAATAGCCTATTAGAGAATTTAAACAGCAATAGTTGGTGTCACAGGTTTCCTCTGCCTTTTTTTCTTGTCACAACCTGAATATTTGTAGAACCACTGGTTAATTACTAACTTTAAATTGTCCCTAGAAGTGTGAGAGTGTGAATGATTATTTGTTTATATGTGTCCACGTGATGGACTTGCAACCTGTTCAGGGTGTAGCCTGTCTCTCACACTGTGGATGCTGAAGATAGGCACACACTCCTAAACACTACCAGTATTCAGTATTCAAATTCCTGACTACGGGGGACATCAATCAATCAATCAACCTTTATTTAGACAGGTAAATCCCATTGAGCCTCGAGGACTCATTTACAAGAGAGACCTGATTTCAACAAAGAAAGATGACAACAAAGGACAACAGCAACAACAATAAACAATTATAAAAAGTCATAATACAGTTTTTTTTTACAAATAGGATGGCTAAAAGGAAAAGGTAACAAAAAAACAAAAAAAACAGCTAGATTCTAAGGCGAATGTAGAAAGACTAAAAACAGGAACATGTCTGCATTGGTCCCTGCCAGGAGTCCAACAGATTCTTAAAGCCACTTAGAGAGGTCAAGGCCGAGAGCTTCAATTGTTTTTGTAAGATATTCCAGGAAACAGGAGCGGAGTAGGAGAAGGCCCTTTTGCCTAGTTCAGTCCTCATTGAGGGAACACTGCAGGTAATAATGTCCTGAGGGCGCACACTGTAGCTGCACTCACGCAGAGACATGTAGGAGGAGATGTAAGAAGGTAGCAGACCAAGAAGTGATTTAAAGATGAAAATGTACCAGTGAGAGAGACTGCGTGAAGTTAATGATGTCCAGTTAACCAGTGAATACAGGGTGCAGTGGTGGGTACGATAATCACAGCCAGTTATGAATCTTAGTGCACCATGATAGACAGCATCCAACATCTGCATGGTTCTTGTAGGAGCGTTCGTGTAAATAATGTCACAATAATCAATTGAGGGAAGGAAAGTCACAGATACAAGGTGTTTTCTAGCATTCAGGGTTAGACAGGATTTGTTTCTGAAAAAGAAACCCAGTTTAACTTTCAGTTTCTTTACCAAGTTTTCCCCATGGAGCTTAAAAGAGAGATGTGAGTCGACCAAGATACCCAAATATTTATAGGAATCAACAAACTCAATGGGGACACCATTTGAGGATAAAATCGGAGGAAGAACTGCTGGGACCAACTTCCTATTTGAAAAAAGCATCCCTTTGGTTTTGTCGGCATTTAGGACAAGTTTGAGGCGGAACAAATCAGTCTGGATGCAGTTGAATGCAGAATTAAAAAGCTGGAAAGCCTTAGCAACAGTTTTAGCTCGACAATAAACAACTGTGTCATCAGCATAGAAATGTATGGATGCATTAGGGATGTTTTTACCTACATTATGTATGTAGATTGTAAAGAGGGTGGGTCCTAAGACTGAGCCTTGTGGTACACCATTGTTGACTGTTAAATAACTGGAGGAAGTACCATTATGTTGAACACATTGCCTCCGGTCTGAAAGATAGTTAGAGAACCAACCAATGGTGTGTTCTGAGAAACCAATTTCTGAGAGTTTATGACACAAGATGTTCTGATCCACAGTGTCAGAATCTTTAGACAGGTCTAAGAAAAGTGTAGCACAATAATCCTTAGCATCCAGTGCTTCAACGATGTCATTAAAAACCTTCAGTCGTTGTGCTGTGTTGTTTCCTGAAACCAGATTGATGGGGAGGTAAGATGTTAAATGAGTCCAGGTAATTTTTGATTTGAGAGTTTATCAGTTTATCTAGAACCTTGGCTAAAATGCAGAGTTTAGAGATTGGTCGATAGTTGTTCAGTGAGGTGGGGTCACCTCCCTTCAGCAAAGGAAGAACAAAGGCTGTTTTCCAAGTGTCTGGGATGGAGTTTTGTCTTATGGAGAGATTGAAGATGTGGGTCACAGGGACTGTGATGATATGAGCAGCCAGCCTTAAAAAATAAGGTGGAAGTTCATCTGGACCTGCAGATGTTTTAGGATCAAGATCTTTTAACAGTTTATTAACCTCACTGACTGAGAATGGAGAAAAAGAGAAGCTGTGATTAACTGAGGATTGACTTGTAGTAGGGATTTGATTTGTAGAAGTTTGGTTATTAGGGGAAGTGGCTGATTTTCTGTTAGTAACTGTGTCAAATAAAGAACTAGAAGCAACAAAATGTTTGTTGAAACAGTTCAGGATCTCGTGCTTATTTGACACAGGAACAGAGTTAATGAGAAGTTGTGATGGGAGGTCAGATGATTGGGGGGTGCCTGAGAGAGATTTGATGGTTTTCCAGAATCTGTTAGGGTCATTTAGATTTTTGGAGGTCTGAGATAATAAATAGTTGCGTTTTGCTGCTTTGACAGCAGTTGTACATTTATTCCTCATCTGTCGAAAACTCAACCAATCAGTGTCTGAGTCAGATTTTCTCGCTGCAGCCCAAAGATGATCTCTCCTGTGCAGGAGGTCAGCTAGCTCTGGAGTAAACCAGGGGCTGTCTCGTCCCTTTATTCTGAACTGACGAAAAGGAGCATGTTTGTT